AGGATACAGAGTAGTCTGGCCAGGTTAAAATAAACCACGAGTCTTGGCTGAAATGAAACATTAGGTCATCTGGGCTGGACTTGTCATCTGTCCCTCCCTCTACTTCCCCACCAAACACTTTGTTTTCAGCTTATTTCGGAATTGGATTTGAGCAGTAAACCAGGAATAGCTGCACTGGAGAAAATGGGTTAAAATGTGTCCACGCAGGAGGCAGAGGTATGAATATAAATGAGGCTTGGTACCATTTTTGTGTGTGTGCAAGCTACTCCCAGAAGGGGCAGCTGCTTCTCCCATTTGCTTTCTTGACAGCAAGGGCCTAAGGCTTTCTAAAAATAGAAAGTCATTGAGAAAATCAACAGAGCGTGAACTGCACAGCTTTGCAGGAGGTGCCACAGTGGGCTGGATGGGCTGTGCAGTGGCAGGGAGGAGGGGAGGGAAGAAAGACATCTTCTCTCTGTGCTGTGGAGACACATCAGTGCATCCCAGGAAAGCACCTTGTCCCTTTTCAAACACCCAGCCCTCCTGCCTGGAGGGGCTGCCTTGGCAGGTCCTGCCAAAAAAAAAAATAGAAAGGGGGGTGAGTGAAGACAGGTCAGGCTGTGCTGGGTGTTGTGTAAATATTTGGCAGGTTGTGGAAGCTGTGCTTTCCTCCTGGTGGTGTGGAAGTGGCAGGCTGGCTGTGCTGAGGATGCCTCCTGCTCTGCCAGTGAGAGCAGGACAAGTGCTTTTAATGCAGAGTGGATTCTCTGTTTACAGACCTTCTCCTTCCCTGCGGCCACTGTTTACTCCTAATCTCAAGCAGGAGCATTAGCCTAACCTCTCACTGCTGCCTGAAGGAAGGATTGCAAGGGTTTTGCACAGGGAAGGATCTTTGCAAATGATTTGATGCTTCTTGCAGGAAAAACCAGCACCTGCCAGCTCCGTGGTTTGTGCAGCAAGACCTTTTGTGAGCTAACCAGTTCCCCAAAAAGGGCTGGAAAGTAGGTTAGAGGAGGCTGAGAACCAACTTGGGTGACCTTTTGCTCATTTCTTGAAATAATTATTCCTCCTGCAGCGAGGTAACACCAATCTAATAGGCAGGTATAACCTACAGTATTGGGATGGTACCAGTACAACAGCTTATCCTGGGGTTTGTCTTCTCCCTCATCATCATCACATGGACAGAGGGTGCAGGAAATGGTCTCACTGGAGTTTGTTTCTCTGGTGCTTTTGCAGTAAACTTCATTTCTTGGTATAACTGATGTTTTGCACCATTAATGATTGATGGAGCCTGTGTGTAATACCTCAGAAACACACTTCAGTCTGTCGTGAAAGCCCAAGTTAATATTCCTGACTGGGATGTTGCAAACCCTGCAGAGAGAATGTGACAGTGCAGGATGTGACAGCTCTGTGGAAGGAGATGTGGACAGAAGTTTGGGGCTGTTTGGGGCAGGCAGTGTGGAGGGGGTCCCACCCTGGGTGATGTCAAGCTCCCTCATTCCAGAGCTGCACAGGGAACAGGACATGGATTCGCTCTCAGGAGCACTTGCAGGGGGAGGAACCAGATTTAGAAATCTGCAGCCTGGGAGTTGCTCTGTTTCCTTGGAGATGGGTGCAGTTAACAGCATAAACATCCTCCCCTTCCTCGCTGCACGTTGTCACCTGCAGGAGGATCGGTGCAGTTCCAGCTGCCCTGGGTGTGTGGACAAGGGGGACAGTCCTCTTGCTGCAGCTGGAGAGGAGTCACACAGCCCTGCTTCCCCTGGGGGGTGTTTGGCAAAGATGTCAGGAGTTTACAGCCCTTTCTCTGGGGAACTGTGATCAGATTTGTGCTGCCTGTTGTAGCAGCTACAGGACCAAGTGCTTACCAAGCAGAACTGGAGGGACAGGGACTGTGGGATGAGTGGAGGGGGGACAAAAGGGAAGGTGCTTTGGGCAGATGAGCTGACACATGAGGAAAGCAAGATCAGTGCATGTTAGACATGACTGTAGAGGTGCCACCTTGCCCATGTTCACCCCAGCACTGGTGTTAGTTCTGCTGTGCAGGTGTTTCAGACATTTCCTGCTGCCTTGGGTGGGCTCATTCAATCCCCATCCTGCCCCTGTTGCTCTTTACCTCACTGGCTTCCCACGTGCAGGGCTTCTGAAGCAGGAGAGGAAATCTAAAGAGGCCAAGTGTGGCTGCAGCCTGACCACGAGTTCAGCATTAGGAACCTGTGGCTTTGTCTCTCCTGAAAGCAAAGCTCTTGTCTCTCCCAGGAAATCCAGAGGCAGGAGGGCAAAGGATGTCAGTGACTGCTCCGGGTGCCACCACTGACTGAGAACCAGGCTGGGGGTTGTGTTGGGGGGGTGTGGGGGAAAGCATGCATGGAGAACAAGAGAGAATTGCCATCCCTGACCTGTCTCTCCTGCCTTTTCCTCCCCAGGCAGCAGCCTATGCCTCCGAGGACGGCGTTCTCACCGAGGCCATGATCGACGCCCGCGTGGCCGACGCCGTGCAGCAGCACAGGCAGAAGATGGAGTGGCTGAAAACAGAAGGTGCTGAAGAAAGCAAAGGGACTGGCAGGAACCCCCTGCTGCCTTTCCCCAAAGGAACCCCGGTGTGAGAAGCCTGCAGGCTTCAGACCAGCGTGTGTGGGGCCGAGGCCCCGGGAGAGAGCTGGGAGGGTCTTGTGGTTTGGTGGGAACGTCTGTTGAGAGAAGTGTGTCCTTTGGTGCAAGGGAGGGGGTGCTGCCTCAGCCTGCCTTGGATCTCGTGCTTTGAAATGGCACCAGAAAACAACATGGTTTAAACGAGGCAGAAGCAACTGAATTAAAGGACCCCCTTGCTGAAACACCACTGACTGTGTTGGTCTGTGTGGCCTCTCCTGCTGGAGGGGCCCAAACCCCAAATCCTCCCAGTGACAGCATAGGGCCTGTCCAAGCCTGCTACTCCCCTGTATTTAATTTGTAGGGTTTATGTCCAGCAGAAGTATTTCTCACCTTTTTTCCCAGCTCCATGACCTACCTCCTTGCTCACATCCCCACGTGGCATCGCTCTCGTGTTGTCCTTCACAGACTCAGAGCAGGGTTTGTGTTACAGAGGTGGATTTGCTGTGACTCCCCTGGTTAACTTGGAGTCAACACAGGTAGTCTGAGAGCAGCCCCGGGTGTTTTTCCCCCAGGTGACTCCCCTTTCTCTTCAGGAGGGGAGCAGGCAGGGCTCAGGGGGTCTCTCTGGCACGAAGGTGTCCAGCACAGTTCTAGAGATGAAAGGGACTTGTTTGCTCCCACTGCTGCCCTCGAGCTACTCTTGCAACAGGAATCTTGTGCTGCATTTCTGGAACAGCTGAGAACTGTGCCATTGTCAAGTCCTGAACATGAGCCTGTGTTGATGAGCTGACATTCATTCTGCTTGTGTGCATGTAAGAGACAGGTCAGAAAATCTCCCGATTTTTTTTTTTCAGAGTTTGAACTGGATTTGAACCCTGTGCTCTGCTCTGAGGCCCTTTCTGTAACTACATGGTGCAAACATGACCCAAATCTGTGCCCTTGAGTACCTTGCTGAGCTGTTCTCCTCACACAGGAACTGACAGCAGCCTCTTCACTGCTGGTTGTGGCTGAGCTTTGAGGGACTCACCCTGGCAGGAGCTGCTGAGCCCGGGGGCAGAACCAGGCAGGTCACTGGTGTGCCCAGCTCTGCTGCCCACTGAACACCTGGGCCAGGTGCTGTCACTGCTGCTGCTGCTCCTGTGGGGTGGGACAGGAGAGGGAACTCCTGCCTCATCCAAGATTTCAAGGCAGGGCCCTGTCACCTCTGGCAGTCTCACAGGCCAGCCAGCCCCAGGGTGACTGCTGTCCCTGTGGAGGTGCCACCCAGCTATGTGACACTCCCTGCAGGGACAGGATGGCAACCCCAGACTGAGGTGAGCTCCTCTAGTGACACTGAGTGAGTTACGAGCCAACAGCACTTTATTAAAATGGTATTTTGTGTTGGAGAGCAAATCTCAGAGCAGATGGATTAGCAGGCAATCCATCACTCCCCAGCTTGGCCTGTGCCAGCTCAAACGTGCTCCCTGTGCTCCAGCACTGCAGCTGGGAGGCAGATTTACAGCCTGGTCATCTCTGTCTCCTCCCAGTTGCCATCCATTGAAGTATTTACTTCTGGATATGATACGCTGGGAGCAAAGTAGAAGCACAAGGGTGCGAGCATCGCGCGCTGTGGGACTCGGGGAGGTGGGAGTCTCCTCGGGAAGCTTTTCTCTGCCAACCTGTGTCTGTGTTTGGAATGAAAAAGAAACACTCAGAGTCTTTTATAATCCCTTGTCTTGGGTGTTGGGCTTTATTTACTGCTCTGCCCTCACGTGGAGTCTGCACCGAGCCTGAGATGTGCCCAGACTTGGAGAACAATTCGTGCAGCAGAATCTTTGTGCAGAAGGGCTGGGGTCCCACTCAGGGTCAGAGCTGCTCTGTTGGTGTGTGTGGTTCTGTTCCAGCAAGGAGCAGACTGAAGGATGGTGTGGTTCTGTTCCAGCAAGGAGCAAACTGAAGGATGGTAAAGGGCTGGGTCATGGTGGCAGATTTTGGTACTGCTAGAATGGGAAATGTTCCCACTTTTCCTTCTCCGTGCCAAAGCCCTGAGTTGCCTGTGCTTTTCCTGCCTTTCTTGCCTGTGCAGGCAACACGGGAGGCCCAGGCTGCTCTCAGGAGGTAACTTGCACCCAGAATTTAACAGTAAAATATTTATCTTCCTTTAAAATCAGTTCTGGACCTTGGAGCTTCCCTGTGATCCCGGTGAGCAGGAGACAAGCAGGTGAAAATCTGGGACAGCATCCTGTGATGTCACATAACCTGGGGGAAATCACACAGCCCTTCTTCAGAGATCAGGACAGGTTTTCCCACACCTTTCCAGCCTTGTTTGTACCTTCTCCTCCTCCTCTCTCAAGCCCCTGCCCAAAGCTGCTGCTCTGCAGTGCCCCAGCCCCTGCCCCGGGGGTACCGTGGGGTTCAAAGGGTTGGAAAAAACACTCAGATGCAAAACATGCAAAAAACTATTTTACTGACAAACAGCAAAGGACGGGCTTAGTTCCAGGAGCTGAACTGGTTATGTACAAACATCTTATTGAAAGGGAAGGAATGGCTGAAATACACTCACTCGTTGACCCAAATAAAATCACAGTGTGCTTTTTCTATTGCCTCCCCCACCCCAAGCTCTCTCTGCGCCTTCAGCTGCTCCCTCAGCACAGGTTGTCACCCCTCCAGCACAGCCACTGGAGAGCACAAACCCTTGGGTGACATCTGCCTGTGCAAGTATATTGAATTTAAAAAATTAGCCATTATTGCTTTTCAACCACAGTAGAGATTATTCTGTGATCAGACTCGGAGCAGAGTATAATCTCTCTCTCTCTTAGTCTCGACATGTGCTGTGCCTCTCCCTGCCTGGTGCATGCAAAACTGGTTTGGGTGCAGAAATGAAGAAAAGAAGGATTAACAATCAGGGAAAACAGCACTCCAAGCTTCGTTCTCATGTTCTCAGTGCAGAGCACCAGTGGAAAAATCTGCCTGGACTGAGTGCTCTGCCCTGCAAGGGCTTCCCCTGCCTTGGTCAGTGTGAGCTGGGGGCTGAGCCACCCTGGGGTCACCCCAGGGCTCAGCTCCGAGAGGGGACTCAAACTGGCAACCCCTTTGGAAAAGAAATGAGTGCAAATGGGAGGGAGGCACTGGAGGAGGAACAGGCTCATGCAGTGAACACATGAGGAGGACACACGGCGGTGAGTGCACGGACACGCACGGACACACATCCAGGAGCAGGATCCTGGAGGCCCACCAGGATCCAGCAGACTGGCAGCCCAGCTCCTCCTTACACCTGCCGCGCTTTCCCACTCCTCTGCTTCCTTCTCTGCCCCAACAGCCCCCTGCAGAAAGATCGTAGACTTGGCTTTTTTAAATTTTTTTTCACTGAATTCACTTGCTGCTTCACATTCTCCTGGGCACCCCAGTGAGCTGGGCTGAGGGGACACCTCATCTTCACTCCATCCTAGGGTAGAACCAGCAATCCTGTGTCCCTGCCCTGTCTGTTCCCTGTCCTACATCCCATTGCCTCTCACTGAAGCACAGATCTGTCCCACTGACATATCCAGGGTGGAAAACAATTGATCTGAGTGTCTGCTTGTACCACACGCTCTGGTGATGGAAGTACTTCTGTTCTTTCCCATCCAGAGGTGCTCTGGGATTTTCTATTGGCTGTTTGCGCCTTCAAAGCCCCCTGAACCCAGAAGAGGCCTCATCACCCACACTCTCCCTCAGTGCCACGCTGAATGTTCAATGGGGTGAGATCTGACATGAGACTGAGCTCCCTGTGCCACTGATCCCCTGCCAACCTCCACCTCCTGCAGGGGACTCTGCAAGGTGAACATCCCCCTCTCTTTTCACCATGTGCTTTCTCCCAAGCTGGGGAATGACCTTGGGTCGGGGCTTTCTCCTGCCTGGGCTCACCTAGACCTTATCCAAGGTATCCAAAGGCTGTTGGTGTTTGTGTCTGCACTGCCTGCCCTGGGCTTCAACCACCAGCTCTGGGTCTCTTCAGCCTCAGCTCACCTGGCACCTTTTTTTTTTCACAGAATGGTTTGATCTGGAAGGGACCTCTGGAATTCATTTAGTCCAATTCTCCTGCTCAAGCACAGTCCCCCCAGAGCAGGCTGCCTGAGAACCATCTCCAGCTGGCTTTTGACTGTCTCCAAGGACAGAGACTCCACATCTTCTCTGGCAACTCGTCCCAGAGCTCAACCACTCTCCCAGTAAAAAAAGAGATCCATGATGTTCAAGTAGATCCCCCCATGTTTCGTTTTTTTGCCCTCTGCCTCTGGTGCACCACTTAAAAAGCCTGGCTCTGCCTTCTTTGCCCCCTCCCTCCAGGTATTTATGTACCTTCTCTTCCCCAGGCTGAACAGCCCCAGCTTTCCCAGCCTTCCCTCACAGGAGGGATGCTCCAGTCCCTTAATCACCTTAGTGACTGTGTTTAATACCCCTTTTGATCAGGGATTCTCTTCTCCCAGCTGAGCACAACCAGAAAATGAGGTAGAATAGCAGCAAGAGTAACTAAAACCACCCCACCCTGCTGTCAGTGCCCGGGACACACATTCCTGGCTCCCTCCTGGTCTTTGACTGATAATGGATAAAGTGCTGCCAGGTATTTCAGCCAGGATGGGCCAGTGGATGTGTCCCTGGCTGGCTCAAGGGCTGGCTGAGCAGTAGGAGGGCACAGTGGACAGATGGATGGATGGATGGATGGATGGAATCACAGGAGACACCTTCCCAAACTGCTCCTCAACGAGGAAGGGTCCTTCTTGTTGTTTTTATGGGAAAAAGGGGTTTATTCAGCAGTGCTGGTACTGAGCACAGGATTTGATTTTAAAAAGGAGCTGCTGGTTGATGCAATGGATTTCTCAATCCCCTGCTTTTCTCCACCTGTCTTTCCACTCCTCCCCTTTGCAGCAGCTCCCAACCCCCAGCACACACCCATGGGGCGTGCAGGCAGCCAGACCTGGGCTCCTCACACCAAAAACGCAGGAGAACATTCCCAGTGCCAATCCCAGCTCTGGAAGATCGACATGCACAGTTTTAAGCTCTGTCTCTGCTCTAAAAATAGCCCACAAACCCCACCACCACCATCAGAGCCTCCCTCAAAGCATCTGGCGGGCGAGTGCTGAGAGTGGCCCAACACTTCCCACTCCCCTGTCCTGCAGATCCCATTCCCGTGTCCCACAGAGCTGCCACCACAGGCACAGCTGCCAGCTCTGCACCCCCTTTCCTCCCTTCCTGCCCTTGTTTTGTCAACTCCCTGGTGCCAAAGCCACTTGCTCCCAACCAAACCCTTTTTTGCCTGGGGTTGTCGCTGGGTTTGGGTGTTTGTTGTTGTTGTTGTTGTTGTTGTTGTTTCCATCTGTGGTTGGTTTTTTGGTTTGTTATTTTGTGTGTGTGTGTGTGTGAAGACTGGATCAGAGGCAAGAGAACAACAAACAAGTCAACACTAGTACATCTGGGACAATTAAACGAGGAGAAAACACCCCCACAGCAGAGAGAAGCAAAACAAACACATGCACAGAGGAACAGCAGGACCACGGACAACTGAGCTGACAGCAAGAGCAGCGACCTCACGGGGACAGAGGGACAAGAGAGCACACATCAGACAGGGCTGGGAGGACTCCCACTGGAGCAGGATCAGCTGAGAGGGTGGCAGGGGGACAGCAGTGATGGTGGCAGGCAGGGAGAGCAGGGGCTGCAGGGCAGTGACAGTGATGGGGTTCTGCGACACCCAAAAACCTCCCTCACCTTCTGCTTCTCTGGGGGCTTTGTCACCTCGTTCCCCGGAGAGGGGACATGGCAGACACGGGGCTGGGGGGAACAGCCCTTGTCTAGCTTTTTTTTGGACATTAAATATCTGAACTGTTCCTGTGCAGGGGGTTCTCACCGCTGCAGCCTGACCTGTGAGGGACATTATCCGACCCCAAAACAGGCACATTCCCATCTCTGCTCCATGGGATGGAATCTACGGGTTATCCAGCCCCAAAACAGGCACAGTCCCACCTTTGCTTCACAGGATGGAATCTGTGGGACCTTATCCAGCCCCAAAACAGGCACATTCCCACCTCTGCTCCACAGGATGGAATCTATGGGAGATTATCCAGCCCCAAAACAGGCACATTCCCACTTCTGCTCCATAGGCTGGAATCTACAGCAGCCTCCAGGACTCAGAGGAAAACCCACCTCACACCAGGAGCTGCTCAGCTGTTTGAAACCACAGAAGATGCAGCAGATCTCGTGGGTCAGGAATAGAATTCCCTCCCTGCATGGGAAGGAATTTTAATCCATGTTTATTAAGGATGAGAATCGAAGATCTTGTAAGTTCCCCACTGGTTTAGTTTGTGCTGGGACACGTCTGGTTTCTGTGCATTCAAGACCAGTAAATGACTCCCAGTAAATTTAATTGCACTGAGACTATCTTTGATTTATTTTTTTTGACTGTGTGAACAAGAAAGAGGCTCACGAGGTGAGAGCTACAGGCCCAAATTAAAAAAAAAAATTCTGTTCTTAAATAATGGGATTATGCATTATGTGGGGTTTTTTTTTCTCCTTCTTCCAGAGCCTCAGGTTCTTCTGAAATTTTGCTGTGGATCAGACAGATCAGACTTAATGAGTGAGAGCCATCACTTCACTCTTTCCAGTTGTCCCATATTTAATGATATTTCAACCAAGGTCAGCTGCTAGAGCAGGGCAGAACCAGGCTTTATATTCAGTCTGACTTTAAGCCACTGCCTTAAGTCTCTCTCTGGAGAGGCTCCAAGTGGAAAGATTATTTAAAGTGCTTTTTTTTCCCCCCCATAACTGGCTCCAGAGATTCAATATTTCTCCTTACCACGATGGAATTTTCTCCTCTGCAAAATGTTGTCCCACCTGAAGACACTTGGATAACACAAGACCTGCTCTTCCCTGCCACTTCAGTGTGTGTGCCATGGCACAAGGAGGGTGCAAAGCTGTGTGTCTTGGAAAGGAGCTGCTCCAGGAAAAAGTCATTCCTTAGATCCCAACAGGTGGCTGCAGACATTCCAGCCACAGGGAACCCGAAATGACAGACAGTCAAACAGACACAACTATGGACCAGGCAATTATTTAGGCCCAGACAGAAACTGGGGCTCCAAGACAAGAGGCCCTAGGGAATAGCAAAGGTAGGAATGGCAGAGAAATGGGAATGTTTGGCTCTTGGGGCTTGTAATTAACTGAACTGACCCTGGGCAAAGCAAATTAAAAAACAAACAAACCCCAAGACACAGAAGCTGAAGCAGGGAGGAAAGAGCTGGAGTGATGGTGTCCTTCTCCCTCCACAGATATTGCCATCAAACAACAGGAATCCATGGAAGAAACCAGCAGTTTCTGCCAATATTCATCCTCTTTTGTCCTGGGTGTTTTCCCCATCTGAGCACAAACCCACTCAACACAAAATGGTGAACAAAGGAGACATGATTTCGGGGCTACCATCTTAACTTCTTGGGGCATCTCCCTCCTTTATTCCTCTCGATCAATTCTCTCTCTCCCCACCAGGCAGAACAGGACCCACTGCAAGAATCAGACACCACCACACAGGGGCTTTGTCAGCTCCTTCAGGTACCTCTGCCTGCAGGGGAAGGAGGTCTCTGGGTGTGGAGGTTGGTTTCAGACCCTTGGTCACATCTAAGGTGTGACTGGGGGAAGCAAAGACAAAACCACATCAGAGCATCCTCATGCTGTGATTCAACCGTGTGAACATGGGACATTTGGGACATTTGGCTCTGTAGAGGAGTTTTTCTTTGGGTTCTACCTCTCTGTGTCCCTCAAGCCAAGCCCAGACCTGCTGCTGTTTCAGCTCAGGGCAGGAGCACGAGAAATAGGTGTTTGTTCATGTGCAGGGGGAGTGAGACTGTTCACAGGACCCTCTCACTGCACTACCAGTGGTTTTGGGGTGGTTTAACCAGGGCCTTGGGCTCTCCCTCCAAAAGAGGGGGAGAGCAGCTCCTTTCCTCCCAGGCAAGGGCTGGGGGGTGTTTATGAGCAGAGGGGTGTGATCAGGGTGCAAAGTCAGACCCAACACCATCCCACTCCTCCCTCCCTCCCTCCCCTCCAGCTCCAGTGAAGAACAACAGCACTGACACCACCAAGGTCCCACCAGAGGGGTGACCCAGGCAGGGCCAGCCCTGCCCCACGGGCTGGCACCTCACGGGGCCCTTCCCCTGGCACTGAGATTCCCTGGATTGCTTAAGGCAGGTTTCAGTGTGTACAGCAACTCAAACAACAAACCACTTGCACATTCCCAGGATTTTCTTCCCTCCACAGCGACTCCCCAAAACACAAACCAAAGCAAAAAGGGGCACTGTGCCTTCCCAGTGCCCATCCAAACCTGTGACCAGCCAAAGCCATTTTAGCAACAGAAGGGACAGGGCAGAGCAAAACCAAGCCAAAGGACCAAAGAAACGGGGGGCTTGAGCTCTTGGATGAGACACTCTGCATCTTCTTGGTGCTGTCCCACCTCCATCCCCTCGGCCAACATTCCCCTCGGGGGGCAGCTGGATGTGCAGGACAGCCGGGAATGCCGGGGAAAATTCAGGGGGGGGGCTTGAAAGTATAATGCAAATCTCTTTTTTCTCTCTCTCTCTCTCTTTTTTTTTTTTTTTGTGTTGTTTGTTTTAGTTCCTCTGCTTTTTTTTTTTTTTTTTTTTTTACATATATACACGAGTCTGACAATAAAATGTGGAACACAGTGCAATGTCTTGGCTGCGTGGCATCCAGGACTGGCTTTAGTTGTGCATCGTGGTGCGTCCCGGGATATGGATCAGTAAAATCGTGTCCTCGGCTGGGCTTCCACGGAGGAGCAAACCAGAAGCTGTTCCGGCTGGAAGAAGAGCAAAGTCCTTTTTTTTTTTGTTCTTTTTGTTTTTAAAAGCTCCCTGCAGTCTCCAGAGGGGGGAGGTCTCCTCAGAGGTGCCGTGGGCTGGGGTGCCCGTTGTGGTACAGCTTCTGTTTGATGTGCACCATGTTCCCGGTCGCCTCCTCGTACTGCCGGTGGTGACGTTTCCTGAACTCCTTCAAGTTACAAAATTTGGGAATCCAAGACCAGGAGTTGTCTGGAAGAGCAGAAGGGAGAAGGAGGGTGAGATGTGCAAGAATGGTGAGAGCTGTGCCGTCCCTTGGCAAAGCCACCCTTGAGTTCCTCCCGTCAGGACGGAACAGGGCCGAGGTGGATGTGGCAGCACTGGGTCACTCTCTGCCCCTCAGCTTGTGGACAGGGTCATTTTGTCCCCCAGTGGTTCAGCTCTCAGCCCCCAAACCTCCCCCTGCAGCGATGTTTCAGCTGCTGTCCTGTTCCACCAGAGTTCGGGGTGATTCCCCCCCAAAAATCCCACAAATGGCAGCTGGGAAGTCCCAGAGAACGACAGATTGTGGGAAGTTAAACAACTGTGCTGGGAAATGGTTGGACTCGATGGTCTCAGGGGGCTTTTCCATCCCAAAGGAGCCTGAGCCCCTGATTGCAGCTGCCATGAGGTGGCTGTGACTGCTCTGACCAGCCACAGCCTGATGTCTGGGCTTCCATAGAATATTTGCTATTTTGGGCAATCCCTTCCATCAGGAAGGAGCTATAGGTTATTCCAACACACCACAATTTAAGCTGATCAGGCCCCAATGTGACATTGAGTCACTGCTAAGTGCTGCTCATGTTTTTCAGGGAGGGCTCCTCGTCCTGTACCAGCACAGAATTTGTATTACCCTACCCCTGTCTCGCACTCACAGGCACCATTTCTCTCTTCAGAAGAAAATTTCAGCTTTGTTCCACAAAGAAATAGGATTCCTTTCTGCTTATTGCCTTTAAAATGGCTAATTTGCACAGATGATTTGAATGAATAGGAAATACCTAAAAGAACATTGCACCATTGGCCAAACCCTTCTTAAAGGCTTAAGAATAGGCATAGACAGGGAGGAAGGAAAAAAAAATGAAACAAAAGAGATCAATTAGCTTAAATACTAAATTAATTACTAAAAATAAAATCCTCTGTGGTCTCTACTCACGAGGGTTGGGTTAGGTGGTGATAACACAACTGTAGCTCACAGCTCCAGCTCTGGAGAACAATATTCCCCTGCTCACCACAACATCCTCTGCCAGCCCTGACCTCGTGGGCCCCGAGGAGGTCACAGCAAAGGTGCTCTGATGGAAAGCAGGGGGGTCAGGGCCTCACCACTGGCTCAGCACCTGAGATCCCACCCCAAACCCTGCTTTGGGAAACAGCAGCACCACAGCCTGGAGGGAGCCCTGACTCAGAGCCTGCTCACACAGGATTTGGGAAGACTAATGGGAAATTAATATCATTTTTATCTGTTTTCGGAGAGAGATAGTCCACTTCCCTAATTAGAATTTTGCAGATAAATCTTTCTCTTGCTCGCTCTCCTTTTCCCTCTGAGTTGTAATTTCACAGACACCATCAGTCAGAGCTGGAGACACCAAGATTTATGGGTACAGTGTGAGGGAATTTCAAGCCATTCCCTGGATTAATAGTTTTTCTTTTTTTTTTTTCCCTTCCAAAGATTAAAGTCCATGGGGTGTCCGTGCTGAGGGAGCAAACTGGGGAAGGGAAGGAGCAGCTGTTTGTCCTTCTGAGGGTGTTAATTCAGGATGCTGAGCTTACTGGTCCAAAGACTAACTAGTCTGCCCCACACTTTTCCCTATGGGGCTGATGTCACCACATCTGGACACATCTGGACAGCAGTGAGGGTGGGAAACCTCAGGTGACACAGCACAGATGTCTGTCACTGTCATCACAATGTCACAGGTTTGTACAACCACACAAGGCTGCTCTCCATCAGCATAAGTCTGGTTGTAAATTGGAAAAATCCAGACTTTTTCTAATTTTTTCTTTTTTTTATATCCAGCTTTTCGAAGTTTGGTCTGACCCGAAAATATTCTGCCCAGATGAGCAGCCACAGAACCCCCATCACCATCCTGCCCACGGGGAAAGACCTTCCTTTGCATCCCACACCCCTTTGCACCCACACACACATCACCCTTTCCAAAGCACAGCCCTCGGGGCTGGGATCCTCAGCTGGCTGTTCCCACATCAACATTCCTGCTTCTATCACACAATCATGGAATCTCCTGAGCTGGAAGGGACCCACGAGGGATCATCGAGCCCAACTCCTGGGATACAAAGGGCTGGGATACGTCTGGTCAGACTTGTGCCAAACCCAGATGGAATAAACGTGGCAGGAGTGTGGATCTGCTCCCTCTCCACCAGCTTCCAAGGGCAGGGCAAGGGTTTTTAGGGCAGAGGAGGAGCCCGTGGGGCTGCACTTACCATACCGTCGGCTGGTTCTCCAGGCTCGCACCGCGTAGTGGAGAACCCCGTCCATCCACACCAGAAACCAGCTTATACAAAAGCCCAGCAAAAGTCCCAGCATCAGGTCAATCTCCTGCTTGGTTACATTGTCAGTCACAAAGTAGTTCTCCGAGGAGTCCACCACCGACTGGTCCCCGTCGTACGGGATAACGTAATGGACATGATGCCTGTGGCGGGGAACACGGACAGGGAGAAGCGTCAGCGCCTCGTCCACCCGGTTGTGGACGGTTCAACACCGCTCCTCCCAGCTCCTGCCACCGTCCCAGGCAGCTGAAGCGCTGTCCTGGCTCTTGGTGCTGATGTCAGCGGAGGAACTGGCAGGGAGGAGGGCGGGAAAGCACAGAAACCCGACCCCGGGTCAGGGGCTCGTGTCGCGCTCCCCGCGCCCGAGTTTTTTCCTCATCAAATATTAAGCAGAGCACGAGGTCGGAGCAGCCACCCCCAGGGACACAAAGGTCGCAGCTGCCTGTGTTTGAGGCAGAGGCCACTAATGCCTTGTTCCTGTGAGCACACACGGGCTGGCAGCAGCTCTGTGGCCCTGCAAGGGCCACCACCACTCGTCCCCTGGCAGGAAGGAGAACTGTCCCCTCCCTGCTCTGGAGGACAGCCCCAGGGGTGAGCTGTGCTGCTCCATGTCCCAGAGTGAAATGAGACTTGTATCCCTCCCATATCAGAGCAGAGAGTGTTTATAGCCATGGAAGAGGCTCGTTAAAACATCCCTGAATTCCTCCTCTACAGCCGAGGAAGGAATTCCTCCTGCAGACAAGATCCAAGACCACCTCAGGCTCTCCTGCTGCATGACCAAGGCGGTTTGGGGTGTTCCTCAAGGACCAGGCAGGAATTCCTGCCTGTAGGAGATAGAAGAATCCCTCCCAGCACAGGAGCAGTTGGCAACCACCTTCCCAGGGCCCTGAACACCTCTGGGGGTAAAGGAGCAGCACTCCCAGCTCCAGAGCTTTCCAAGGCTTCCATCTGTCTCAGGGGTTTGGAGGGGCTGGCCCTCTGCCTCATGCCAGAAGGGTGACTGGGTTCATTTGTGCCATGAGGTGATGGAGACCGAGGTTGGGGTGAAGCTGAACTGCTTGGAAAACCCTGGTTAACTTGGGAAAGGCAGGAAAATGGCAGGGATGGAGGGAGGGAGTTGTAGAGCAGGAAAAATCAGGCAGGTCTGTGGGGGCTGGATGGGAGGGGATCAGCAGTGACAGGTCCCTGAGAGCTGAGCCTGTGGGGTGGGAGGATCCCAGATGATGGGGGATGCAGGGATTGCAAAACAACCTGCTCTGGAGCCTCTGCCTCTGCTTTCCACAGCCCTGAGCCTTCCCGGGGAGCAGCCAGGAGCCCCCGGGGCTGCCCAGGCTCTGTGTTCAGCCCTCCTGCCCCCTCCCTTTGCCTCCCCCAGAGCTGGGCACCGCAGGGCAGGAGCTGTCCCCGCTCCAGGGAGCCCGGGGCACCTCCAGCACTGCGGGCACCATCGCAATCCTGGCACTGGGGGCATCACCAGTGCTCCCAGCTCGGGGCAGAGCTGCACGGGCTCTCCCAGTGCTGCCACCAGCATCCCCAGCATTCCCAGCATCCCGAGCATCCCCAGCATCCCGAGCATCCCCAGCATCCCGGCCCTCCCCCAGCCGCGGACCCGGCCCCGCTCCCACTCGCGGGAGAGGAGGCAATCGCCGAGGCCTCTGAATATGCATGAGGTGCAGGTTGCTCGATAATCACGCCTGAGAAACGTCCAAATATTTACACAAACAAACCTCCACTCAAAGGAACCTTCTGAAAACAGCCCTAATCTCGGCGATGACTTAATGGGGGCCACCTGCACCAGAGGCACCGGCGCTGGCAGGGCTGGCACAGCCCGGTGCCGTGGCACGGGGGTGGGAAGTGGGAAGCCAGCCCATCCACGCGTGTCCAGTCCCCATTTCCATCCAGCAAAGGGGCCGGACTGGGATGCAACAGAAGGAGATGCCTCCAGGCCAGCTCTGATGGCAGCTCACAGAGACCTCAGGGGTAAGGGCAGCCCTCATTTGGCTTGGGAAAATCCAAGGGCAGAGGGTGTGGGAGGGAGGGTTCCTCAAAAGGGAGCTCTTGCCATGACTGGGAGGGTTCCCATGAACACAGCCAGCTTTGCAGAGGGGGAAAAGAGAAGCCTCACACACCTCTCGTGTTCCATGCTTCCCAAATTCCTGCACACACACCAGCCATGTTCGTGCTTCCCAAATCCCTGCACACACACCTCCCATGCTCCACACTTCCCAAATCCCTGCACACACACCTCCCATGTTCCACAATTCCCAAATTCCTGCACACACACCAGCCATGTTCGTGCTTCCCAAATCCCTGTAAACACATCTGCCATGTTCCACACTTCCCAAATCCCTGCACACACACCAGCCATGTTCCACAATTCCCAAATCCCTGCACACACCCCTCCCGTGTTCCATGACACGGGGACACCTGGCAGGTCCTTGACTTACTCCCTTTTGCTTCCTGCAACACAGGCACAGAATCTACAAACACCCCCGAAAACCTGGGCTCCTTGAGATGATCCAGGGCTGGAATTCCTCAGCAGGACCTGGTGTGTGTCCCCTCTGCACCGCAGTGCCACAACCCCCGGGGGGGACCAAAAGCATCTCCAAGGCTCAGAGAAGCAAAACTTCCCAGGCACATCCAGGACTGACCCGACCCCAGGAAGTGAGCACAGACCTCTTCCCACACATGAGGTGGTTTTCATGGACAGTCTCAGCCCAGGACCAGAAGAAGAAGGTCCTGGAGACCCTCCCTTCCCTCTGCCAGACCCCCCAGCACTGAGGGATGTCACACACACACAGGTCACACACGTGCAGCACAGCCAGCTGTGCTAACACGGCATCCAGAGCTCTCCTCACACACTTCCCAAGGGATTTTTTCCCCATCCTGCTCCCTGCACAGCCCTTGTTCCCTGCTTGCTGGGCAGAGGGAAGGGACACAGTCACCTCCTGCCTGCCTTGTCCCTGCTCGGTGCAGGCTGACTCTGCACACTGCAGTGGGATCTCCTCCAGCTCTCCTCGCTTCCTGTGCTCATCCCTGGGCTGGGCAGGGGCAGCTGGGAGGGCCTGGCTCTCCTTTTGTGTTCTCAGCTCCCTTTCCATGTGCTCACTGTTCCCAACACCCCGTGATTCCAGAGGCCATGCTCAGAGCTGGAGTCTCTTTCACTTCATGGGAGGCAAAATTCAATAGAGAGTAAAACCTTTGACCTGCCTGGATTTGGCAACTTAATTACCCAAGTATCAAAAATCAAAGCTGGATCCCAAGTGCAAGTTTCCTTAAAAAATAAAGCCTCCTGTCACTGAAGCTCCCGGAAAAGCAGTTTTTTTGGGAACCCCGAGTTACCAGCATAGTTCCACGCAGAGGAGATCTCAGAGCTACATTTCCACTCCGCAGAGTTTTCCAGAAAGGGTTTAGCAAAGCTCAGGGAAAGTGAATTTTTCCTGTTGGTGCAACAGTTGGGAGAGCAGGGCTGCAGGGAATTCCACCCTTTGTCTTGCCTTACCAGGACTGAGTGGTGCCCCTGGGATGGGGAGGAGAACAGGGACAGACCCCCACGAGGTTCCTGTTGCCACTCAAGTCATTGGGGACGTCACAGGAGTGGTTCAGGCACTGTCACACCAGCACAGCACGTTATTAATAGTGCACAAAGGTCCAGGCCCCCACCACATGCCAAGGGGATTGGAAACTGGAACGTGCCCTGGATGGCTCTGGGATGCAGCGAGGGAATGTGTCACCTCTGTGGGTGCAGGAAACCTCCCCCAGCTCCGTGCCAGGGCACTTCCAGGGCGGGCAGAGAGTGCTGGAGACCAGGTTCTGGCTCCTCAGAGCAAACACTTTTGGCCAAACCTTGTTTTCAGAACTGTGGAGTCCAAGGCTGTGCCTGTTTCACCAACCAAAGGCCCCTGAGAAGAGTCAAAAAGCTGCCTCAGAGTGGCACCACCTCAGCCCTCAGTCAGACGACTGGCACTGGAGTGAGGTCTCTGGGGTCCACAGACCCTCTGCTGTGACAGAGCTGTCACACGTGGTCCTCAAAAGCCAAACCCACATTCTATCCCTGTTTATTTACAAGAAAAAGATGTCCTGAGTAATCTGAGGGCCAATTCCTGGCAGTTCCAGCCGGTATCAATTGTCACAACAGATCCAGGGCAGATTATTCCGACTGGGTTCATCACGTGCCACCTCCCCTCACACGTCATGCACGCTCAGCCGTGCCCACCCTCAGGGAATCATGGAATACCCCGAGCTGTGTCCACCCTGGATGTGCTGGAGCTTCCACAGGAAGGCACAGGAATGTCAGCACTTCAGGCCAGACGCACTTCAGGAGCAGAAGGATCTGGTGAGCAGTGAGTGAGAGGCTGGATCTGCTGCTCATCCCCGGCCAGGCAGCACCTGGCTCAGGTGACAAACTGGAGCTGCCGGACAAAGGGAGCACAGTGTGTGCCTGTGCGTGTGTGCCCGAGCTGTAGCAGCCCTGTCCCCACTGCCAGGCTGTGACAAAGGGGGAACACCCCTTCTCCTCCCCAGGACAAGCCGGGCAGTGCCGTGGCTGGAGGTTCCAGCGCCGAGCTGCCCCGAGCGCTATTGTCCCTTCCAGTGACCTTGTGTGTGCTCCGGCTGCTGCAGCCACAGCACAGCACAGGAGCCTCTGAAGAATCCACTGATTTGTTTTACAACACAGAGAGCCCCTCGGTGCCTCTACAGTTCCCACATCCCCCTGCCGTGGGATGGGGGTGGCCGTGAGCCGATGGATGCTCCGGCTCGGCTCGGCTCCCTCCTGGGCAGGTGTCTGTCTGTCTGTCTGTGCCCATCAGACACGTCACATCTCCCGGGCTCATCCTGCAGCTGCCACATCCTGGCTGGACCAGGTCATTCCCCATCACCAGCTGCAGCAACATTTGGGGAATGTGCCTCATCCAGCCCCCCAGGAATGCCCTGCACGGGGCAGTGCCGCCCTGTCCTGCATCCCTGCCTGACCTTGCAGCCATTCCTCGACATTCCAAACAGCCCAGCACCTCCCAGAGCCATTCCCAGCAGGGCCAGTCTGCACACCAGTGTGGTGGCACCACTGCACAGCTGAAAACATCTCCCTGGGGCACAGCACAGTGTCACAGCTCCCAGAAGCCCAGGGCAGTCCCAACAGTCTCCAGCACAAGGCAATGAGCATTCCCAGCCTCCCAGCACATCCACAGAGGGGCTGTGGGCAGAGGGGTGTAGTGACTTTTCCAGAGTGGCTGGGAAAGGAGGAAGCAGAGCAGGAATGTTCCCTTTGACAGCAGTGCCACCCTCACCAGTGATCCCAGCATCAGGGCAGGGATCCTGGGATCACCAGGGATCACCAGCATTCCAGCCAGCAGCCTCCTCACACATTCCACATTCCACCCCGTGCCCAGGAAACAGCCCATTGCGTGACAGGGTCTCCATGCACATCAGTCACTCAGGAGAGGTCCAGCACAGCCTTTCCCTCCTGGATCAGGGCCCAGGGAGAGCAGGGCTGAAGTATCCCCAGGGCAGGAAGAGCTGACTTGAGGCTGGCCAGGCCCCCAGCTCTGCTGCAGGGTGTGGGTATTCAGCTAAGGCTGACCCTCCTCCTGCTCCTTTCCAACCCTGCTCACAGGAGACACTTTGCCTGGGAGGGAAAGACTCATCCAAGGTCACTCAGAAGGTCAGTGGCAAGGAGAACACAAGTCAGAGCCGCTGAGGTCCCTGTCCTTTCCAGACAAGGGCCTTGCAAGCCCCCCAGGCTGTTTTGCTCCATGCAGGTGTCATCTGTTCCCTCCAGCTCACTCTGCCTCCACGGACGCCCTTTGGTGTTTTTCCTTTGCATGACATCACCCAGCTCCTGATCTGCTGCCAGCTCTCTGCTTCCAGAGAGGACCCTTTGCTGGCTGGGACGGAGAAATTCGGACACCTCTGCAGTCCTGCCCAGCCCTGCTCTGCCCTGGGAGCATCCACATCCCAAGGGGGTAGGGCCAGAGCCTGCTTTGCAAGGAGGACCCACCACGGCGATTTGGACAGCCTGGATGCTCCACATGCCGAGGACAGAGAGTGCCAACTCCCCCAGGGATCTGCTCCAGCAGCCACATTCCTGCACGGCGTCAACAGGAGCCAGCGGGAGTGTAAATGTGGCTGTCACCCCCCCTTCCCGCAGCCAGGAGGCAGATGTTAGGAGAGGAACAGTCCCTTGTCACACCCTGCCTGGCTGTGCAGGCTCAGCACCAGCAGCAGGTGCCAGGGCCAGCCCAGCCTCTCTCTGCTGACGTCCTCGCTCCATGCACCACCAGCCCTACACCAGCTTCCCTTCCCAAGCCACTGGCAGGACTGTTTTCCCAGAGAACAGCTGTGGGTGCTCCCTGCTGGCCCCGGGGGTGCTGGCAGCCCTGCCCTCCTTGGCTCTGTGGCTCTTGGTGGAGCGGCCCCACGGTCCAGCCTGGTGGTGACAGCCCATCTGCCACCCCTCACAGCCCACAGGAGCATCCATGCCAGCCATCAGAGCAGGAACACTCCCGTGGCAAAGGCACAGCCCAGTCCAGGCTCGCTCAAACTGGAAATAGTGGCTCAGTGGACATTGTCACTCAAAAGACTGGGCCAGCCTTGGCCACGTTTCTGTGCACTGGGCAGCAAGAACAGCCCCAGGCAACATTACCCCAGCACCCCACACCCTCGGGCTCCAGTCCCTGCAGCCTCCAGCAGTCACTGAAACTTTGCACAGCACAGGTGTCACCAGCTCCCTCTTGGTTCCCCACAAAGAGCAGCCACAGCTCCCACCCAACATCACAGACCCGAAAAGCACCTCCCGGGGCCCAGCGAGGTCACTCTTGCCCCATCAGATTGCTCCCCTGCTTCTGGGATAAAGTGATGAGCAACAACTTCAGCCTCCAACAGCCCCAGTGGCCCTGATTCCACGGGGATGGGCATGGAAAAGGTTGGGATCAGCCCCCCAGCAGAGCCAAGTGTTCAGCCTCCAGCAGCACCTGAAGACGGGGCTGGTTTTCTGCCCCAAATGTTTTGACTCTCCAGACACTGTGAACACACAGAGTGCTCAGGAACATGGGAAGAAAAAACAAATAGCACTCCTCCCACTTGTCCTGGGACCTTCTTGCTGGTCAGTGCCCCATGGAGAAGAGAACAGAGCCTAGGGAAAGGCACATCACTGCCCATGAGGACAGACCCCAGCACAGCCTCCATGAGCTCTTTGAGGAGGCAGCCAGAGCAGACAGTGACTCCAGAGCCCCCAAAACATGGACAGAGCCTGGGGCACCCTTGGGTACAACTCATGCTGCTGCCTGCCAGCCTCCCACCACAGACTAACACCATGTCCCAGCACCCCTCCTCAGGGAGCAGAAAGTGGGGACAGGAACAAGTGACTCCTCAGCTGGAACTGCAAACACAGCCAGGCCCCATCCCACTGCCAGGGGAGTGGGGATCCAGGCTGTGGATGCTGCAGTGGCAGCCTGGCAGAGCACAGAGCCCCACATCCCCTGGCACACATCAGCTGGCACGTGGGACACACACAGAGCCAGCCCTCACTGCCCACAGCCACCCCCAGCCCAGAACAGCTCCCAGCCCCTCACAGGGACGGGAGCTCAGCGCAGATTCCAGTTCCTCCTGGAGAGTACATCCTGCTGGACACTGCATGCCCAGTGCCAGGTCTGCAGTCCAGCCTGGGACATGGCAGACCATTCCTGGAGAAGGGGTCCCCTCTGACACCCCAAGGGAGGGTGCAACCAGGGGAGGAGAGTGGAAGGAAAGCATTTCTGAATGAGTTATTTGGTCTGACTGACACTACGACCCAGGCCAGGGCAGGAGGGAAAACCTTAATTGCAGCAGCTCAACCCACTGCACATCAATCTTCATTTGTTCCAATTCCTCCTTCCCTTCCATTTCTGCAACATTTACTTATTTTCCCCATTCCTCCCTGCAACACACTGAACTGCAGCCAGCTCCCTCCTCCAAGGACTCCCTTTGGTTATTGGCAAATTAAGTTCTTCATCAAGCCCCGGTACCGGCGCTGACAACACGCTCCAGGACACAGCCCTGCTGACGGCTCCCTGCGCCCAGGGCCTGTGCCCAGAGCACTTGGAGAGCTGACAGCAAGGACAAGGCACATCCAGCACCACCTGCCTTCAAATCAGAGGGCCCAAAACGCTGGTGTTGGGGCAGCAGGGAGCAGAGGGGATCACACCCCAAACCTGAGCACGAGGCCACACAAGCTCAGGGGTGCTTCTCCTACATCAGGGCATGATCATGTAGGAGCCGATGCTCCGGAGCAGGGACTGGTGTGATGTCTCTCTTGGCAAGAGCCACTGCTTCTCCATACCTGAGGCAACTGGTAAACTTTGCTTGTTGCCTCCTCTCAGATCCACACTCGACGATTTGGAAGCTGCTTTGGGCACTTTCGAAGAAATGACCTAACGATGTCTGGGGAGAGTGCCATGGCTAATTTATCTGCCTCCACAGCATCTCTGCTGTGACAGAGAGTTAGAGTCCCCCTGCCACCTTCTCAGGCTTGGGCAGGACACTCTGCCAAACCACCAGTGAGACCTGACACTCCTCAGCCCCTCCAGACAACATTAAAGTCTATTGCCAGCAGCCAATTTTCACCACCACTGAACCAAGCTGTGATGAGTAAAAAGAAAAACCGGTGGAAGAGGCAGAGGAAAAAACCTAAACTAGCAAAAATATCAAGAGGACTCAAAAAAAATTAGCTAAGAAAAAGGTAATCCTTGCCAAAACCAAGCCAAAGACGCTGTGGATGTTTCTTTTCCCCAGTCTTCCCAATTGACCTCAACAGGGAGATGCCTGAGGTGCCCAAGGAACACCAGGTATTTAGGGTCTGTTACTGTATCACCCAGGGCCCGGCTGAATTTGGCCCTGGAGGTGCTGCCTGTACCTTTCTCTGCTGTTCTGCCACGGGAGTCTGGGGAGAAAGGCACCGATCACCTTCGGTGCCTGAAGCAGAAGTGGAAGGGCAAAGCAGCTTCTCTTCATTAAGCGAAGCACATCCCAGCTCCAGCTCAGCTCCCACACCAGGGACACCAGAGGGATGTGACGCCTGGGAGACAGGATGCAGCTGGTTCCAGAGGCAGCTCAAAGAGGAGTAAAGCTCAATTTAAATGTTGGATGTGACAAGGGAGGGCTCCCCCAGCATGTCCTTTAGCTGGCACAGCCTCACGCTGCTTCACTCCCCCACAGACAAGAAACTCTCCTGCAGGGCTGTGAGTAACCAGGCACAGGAGGGGAGCGAGGCCTCCAGGAGTGCAGGACAAGGAACATCAACAGCAGTCCCTAAAGGAAGGGAGAAATTCACCTCCCCCAAAACTCAGCCCCCGGGCCCGAACAGAGGGAGCAGCCAGATCCCAGCTCCGAGCTGAGCGCTCCAGTGATTACACACGACGTAAGAGCGACGTTGTTCAGGAGAATTCAGCATTCCCAACAGCCATGGGGAGAGCCAGGGATTTGTCCAGTCATAAACTTGTGCACAGCAAAGGCATAACTCCTGGCACAGCATCCACCTGGCTCACAGAACGCTCCACAAAACCACAGCCCAGCCTCCTCGGGGTGCTGTGTCCAGCAGCATCACAACTCTCAGGAGGAAAAGCCACAGGGAATTAAAATCCGATCAAAGATTGCAAAGCCTCAAAGTGACACTGTCCTACACAGCCACACTCTGGCCTGGACACAGATCCTCTCGTTTCTCCAAAGCCCATTTCATTTAAACCACACAACTGCAAGACCCAGACCACAAACAGGCTGAGGGCCATCACAACCCAGCGACAACAAAGGCAAAATGACAAACGTTTAAATCAAAGTTACTCACTTTGGCAGGGCTCGCGGGTGCACCTACACAAACATGCACACAAAGGAGAATGGACTTCCAAGCCCACAGAAAACTCTTCTTCCGGAAAAAAAACCAAATCCCCCCCTCCCTGTGTTCATGCAGGAGCCGGTGAGGAAGGTGAGACACAGCCAGAATGCAAAGATGGTAGCCCAGCCAGCAGCGCCCCGGCCACCACCTCCCCTGTGCCTCCCCAGTGAGACAAGGTGGGAAGGGGCTGGAGGGGCAGGGGGAGGGAAGATCCTATGCAGGTGAACTTACCTTCCACAGTTGCAGTGACAAACTCGGTCTTCCCCTCTCAGATGCGGTAAGATGTAATTGTGAAATCTGTCCAACAACGCATTCATGTCCATCAAGCAAGCTATTGCCTGTAAGAGCCCACAACCAAGGCATCTGGTCAACTCTGGATGATGGAATAAAACATTGACTCTAGTTTGATTGCCAAAGACTGAAGCAGTCATAAAGAAAATAATCTTTGGTGTTTACCGGGGCACACACACATGCACACACACGCACACACACACACGGAGGTGCTCAGGCTGAGGGACGGTGCGGGGGGTGGGGGGGAGGAAGGGGAAGGGGGGGGGGGGATGATGGAGGGGAGGGAGATAAGCAAAATCTCTTACCATAACGATAGAGGCGCCCAGGATCATGAAAATCATGGTGTTTGCATTCATGGACATCAATAGGGGATGGCCAGCGGTCGGGTCCGTGCGCCCCAAGCCCGCGGAGGGCGAGCGGCGGCCGCGCTATTCCGCAGAGCCGAGCGCGGGGCGCATCGCGCTCGCTGCCCGCACGCTGCGGTGCGGCGGGGGGCGGCGGGGCGGCGGGGCGCCCCCCGCGCACACACACGCACTCCCCCGTGCCGGGGATGCCTCGGGCTCCCGCGCCCCCTGCCCCCTTTTTTTTATTTTTTTATTTTTCTAGGACGAACGTGACAGGTAAAAAAAAAATAAAATATATATATAAAAAATTAAAAAATAAATAATAATAATAATAATTTAAAAAAATGCGCTCCCCCCGTTCGCTGGCCCCGGGTTGCTCCCCCCCGGCCGCGGCCGCCGCGGCGGGTGCGCGGCTCCGGGAGCGGGCACCCGCCGCCACAAGCACAGCCTTCATGCAGCAACTGGGAAGCGAGGCAGCCAAACCCGGGGTGCGGGGGGGGGGGGGGGGGAGGCTGGGGGAGGAGGAGGCAGGCTGCAAAAAAATCACCCACTCCGGGGGAGCCTCATCGCATCCTCTCCCCCGACCCTCCCCAAAATCATCCCCGCTCCGGAGCGCTGCGAAATGGGATTGAAAATAAAATATACCCCCCGACCCCCAAATCAGCGCGCCCACCCGCCCCAAAAATAAGCCCCCGCAAACCCTCCCGGCTCGGGGCTGCGTGTCCCCGCCGCTCGCTCCGCGCCGGCAGCCCCCGGCCCAGCCCCTCCCGGGCGCGGGTGGCTCCGCGCCGCCGGCCGGCCCCGCACGGGGGGGAGGGATGCGGGATGCAGGGGAGGGATGCGGGATGCAGCGGGGGAGATGCGCCCAGGCAGCGCCGGCCGCCCCCTCCCCACCCCGGGCATTTACCTACGTGGGGAGGCGCTGCTCCGGGAGCGGCTCATGGCGAGCGGCGGCGGCAGCTCTGCGGGCCGGCCCTGCGGGGCTCCCCCCGCCCCGCAGCCGCACGCGGAGCCCCGGCAGCGGCGCTTGGCCGCGTTTCGAGTCCCACACGCCATCCTCACCCCGCCCTTCCTCCGCCCGGGGTCGGCCCCGGCCCCTCTCGCCTCTCGGGAGGGGGGGGGAAGATGCGGGACCGGCCGCATCCCGCGCCGGGGCCCCGCCGGGACCCCCCGCCCGCCCGGGGGTCCGGGCACGGCCCGTGCGGTGGGTGCGAGCCCCGGGCTCCGCCGCGCACACGCCTTCCCTCGGCACCTCCCTCCGCCCGCTGCTGCCCGCACGGAGAGCGGCCCTTGGGGATGGGGGTCCCGGCCCCGCGCCCCCCGACCCGGGGAAAGCGCCCAAAAGGGCACCCAAGGAAGGCTGAGGGTGCCCCGAGCACACTGAGCAAATCCCACCTCCCCGGAGTCGGCCCCTGAGGAAAGCTGGGATGGTGCAGACACAGGAGACCCCTCTCACTTTTGGGACACGAATACCAACAACTTTGTCCCCCCAGATGGAAGGGCCAAGGAAGAGGTTGTGCTTCGGGCTCTCCACGGCTTTATTTCACCGCGGTGTTGGTCAGTCCAGCTCAGGCCACGTATAGGAGCTTCTGGGGAAATAAAAAGGAAATAAGTGGCCAGCCAGTAACTTTCTGCTTGTTTGGTTGCTGCTCCTTTTCCTGTGAACCAGGATGAAGGGAAGCGATTCCAGCCACCACGTGGGAAATGCGTGGTAGCACAGGGCTTGATGGCTGGAGTGTCCTGCAGTGCCTTCACCTCTCCGTCCTCACAGCCCTCCTCAAGGGGAGCTTCACCTTGCTACAGCCCAGGTATTTATTTTTTTAGGCTTCTCAGGGCCGTCAAAGCAGAGTTTGCTGGTGCTGGGTTTTGCATTTTTGCATATTTGTTTTCCTCCTGCTCCTCAGGCCACAATCAGCCTCCTTATGTAATGACTTGTGTTATATAAACTCCATTCTTCAAGGAACAGTCATTAACCTACTACCGGGTATTGAAAATACCAAAATACTGTCACACAATTAAAACCACTAAATGGTGTCCTCAAATTGGAGCACAGATTGCATTGCAGATGATTTTTTTTTTTGATTTTTAATTTAAACCACACACATGAAACGTTTGACAAGCCAGGCACTTCATGCCTAGGAAGGCATCTCTTGCCACATCCTGCCCAACTCCTGAGAGTTCTCTCCTCAACAGCCCTCTGCCCTCAGCTACTTCCACTTCTTATTGAGCTCAGAAGTGGATTCTACCATTGATTTGCAGACCTCAAAAGGACTAATGTGGAGAGAATGCAGCTGGTTACTCTGCTGGTTGCAGAAAACAGAAGCATTTTTGAAGTAACAGCCAAATAAAATCACAGGAGAGAGCAGAGAATTTGAAGACAAGTCCAAGGAATTGCATGGAAGTGAAGTTTTGCCTGGCTGCCAGTCCATGTTCCCCGTCTCCAAGCCATCCCCACAAATTAGGCACTTTAAAGCCACCTCTCCTGGCCTTAGGGGAGCTGGGAGAATATCCCAGATATTTTTCCCATTTCTTTTAAACCAAAGTTTCTCCTGAAATCTTTTGACACAGAAAATACCTTTGACCTTGTGTTTAGCCACACTTTTATACCTATACACATATACTTTGTGTATCTCAAACAAGACTAGGACACCATGAAATTCCTGTACAAACTGAGCTTTTGAAATCAGAGGATTTCAACGCAAATGAAGCGTGTGGAGACAAAGTAACTACATAAATGCATACATTTTTCAAGTTAAATGAGAAGTAACGTGTCAGAGCATGAACAGCTTTAGCTGAAGAACAAGTTATGCTCACAGAAAGCTGAAATACTGACTGTGGATCATTCAGAATACTGACTTCTCCTTCCAGAGCATCCATCCATCCTTCTGCACACTGGTAAATAAACAAGTGACAAATGACCAGCTCCCAGTGCTGCTTTGCCTTATGAACAGAATGTTTAGGATGGAAAGAACTGCTCTGCAACATCCTGTAGACTCTATTATGGTTTCAGGCTTCTTAGTTAAGAGATGCAATGAAGTTCTAATTATTCCACACTTAGCACTACAGCAGCCAGAATTCTCTGCCAACCACACACACGAGAAGTGCAACCTTTCTGTAATAAAGAGGACTCTGCTGTGAATCTCCATATACACACAAAACTTGGGTTAAAACATCCTGTGTGGGTTTTTCCTGCCTTCCTGTGAAATAACAACAAAGAGCTCTGTTTAGGACGAATTAAGTTGAAAGCAAAAACATTTTTCAAACACTCCCCAGGTTTCACCTTGCCAAGAGCAGAACTCAGTGCTGGTACCGCATGGGGAAGGAAAACTCTGCTCAAAATGCTCAGCACTGTGCTTGCTTGGAATGCCTTTTTAAAGAGATCAACTAAAGCAGTTCATCCTCACAGAACCATCTCCTTCCCCTGGCTGTAAATATCCCCATGGTAACAGAGATGGTATCAGACAGACAAACGAGGAGGAGCAGAGGAGGCCAAGGAAATCCATCAAACACAGAGTCTCCGGGAACAAAATGGGACAGGACAAGCCAATTGGAAAACACACACCCTGCAAACCTTATCACAGCTGCTGCTCCAGCTCCCCAGCCCTTATTTGTTCTGATCTAGTCATTCTCCACGACATTTTTAAGTATTTTTAACAGACAGGCAAAACAGCCCAGGTAATTCAGGGATATTAAACACTCCCAGGACCCGAGGATGATGCACTGACCCATTTGGACACTGGCCAGGACACGGATTGAGCTGGCAGAGGCCTAAGTTTTACCACAAAGCAGTTGAAACCACAGCCAACCCCCAGGATCCCAGGAGCAGCGAGGTGTAAGGTTTCTTTGGGAGCCTGACTGAGACTTCGGGATTTGCAGCTGCCAAGAAGGTATTTTCCAATAGGGACTCGCAGTTCTCAGGTGTGGAACCCGAAATGCTGCTCCTTTAATACCTGTGTGTTCACTGACAGAGGTTAAGCAGCATCACCTTAAGATTTACTGCCACACAGACAAAGTTGTTTGCACAGAGGGGTGACACTGGCCTGAGCTGAAAGTACTTGCACCAAACTCCTGCATGTGCAAAACACTTAAGAAGGAAAAATAAGTAATTCCTGCAAGCTGCCAGAGGTCAGTGATGGAACAGGAGAAGCCAAGAGCACAAACCCCATTTGATGCTGCTTCACTTTGTTTGTTGTCCTCAGCTACCCCAGAAGAGCCTGGTTTGCTCCAAATTGTTCACAGGTTCTTTTAAGAAAACAACTTTTAAGATCCTCTCTTGCCTGTAAGCAACAACACTTTACCAGTCACATTTTGAACGTGCAATAATTTGGTTTCAGTATTATCAGTCTGAGCGGCTTTTGCTCAGTTTGTACACACGTACCCACTTCCTGCATTTTGAGCCATAACAACCACATTTACTGCTGCTGTAAGGGAGGAAAATGCTTCTATTCAAAACTACTTTGGTTGAAAAAAAAACCACCCAAATTTAAATTATTTCTGTTGACAGTGGACTTTGCCATTTCTCCCCATTTTCCTTAGACATTGGGCCCTGACTGCTACAGTTACAGCCTCTCAGTTTTATTCATCTCACACAGATACTTTGTTTTACCTCAAAAAGAGCAGACACTTCCTCAGCTGCTACTTTGAAAACAGACAAACTCAGAGGTTTTTCATTTTTATTGGATGCTTCCAACTTTATAGCTAATAATATACAGATACTCAGTTATTTAATTGTTCCATTCACATCCTCAGCCATTCTGTCACATTAAATTTAAAAAAAAAAAAAGCCAAAAAAAAATGCACAACTGAAATAAAATAAATTTGTAAGCTGGAAAAATACATTATAAACTTATATTCAAGAAACATTCTCTTTATAATTAAAAACCTACTTGTAATAATTAAAGTAGGATTTAGAAAAGAACTTGAATTTAATTTTTAAATAGGTGGCCTTTGTGTATACTTTTCATCATTTCATATGTACAAGCCCAACCAGTACCTCTGCCTACCTGTGACAGAACACCTGAAACAAAAAGACACTGAAAAGGAGTTTTTAAACAAACAAACAAACAAACAAACAAAAAAAGATCAATATTCATTTTCCAGGAAAATACAGTATAATCAGAAATTTAAACACATGCTTCCCTCATCTGTATTAAGGCCTAAGAGACAGATGTGCTTTAATAAAAGCAGACAGTATGAAGAAAAGTCCTTCCACTTTTCTCTTCA